GGGGGACACACACACACGAGGGGGGACACACACACACGAGGGGGACACACACACACGAGGGGGACACACACACACGAGGGGGACACACACACACACGAGGGGGACACACACACACACGAGGGGGACACACACACACACGAGGGGGACACACACACACACGAGGGGGACACACACACACACGAGGGGGACACACACACACACGAGGGGGACACACACACACACGAGGGGGACACACACACACACACGAGGGGGGGGACACACACACACACGAGGGGGGGACACACACACACACGAGGGGGACACACACACACACGAGGGGGACACACACACACACGAGGGGGACACACACACACACGAGGGGGACACACACACACACGAGGGGGACACACACACACACGAGGGGGACACACACACACACGAGGGGGACACACACACACACGAGGGGGACACACACACACACGAGGGGGACACACACACACACGAGGGGGACACACACACACACGAGGGGGACACACACACACACACGAGGGGGACACACACACACACGAGGGGGACACACACACACACGAGGGGGACACACACACACACGAGGGGGACACACACACACGAGGGGGACACACACACACGAGGGGGACACACACACACGAGGGGGACACACACACACGAGGGGGACACACACACACGAGGGGGACACACACGAGGGGGACACACACGAGGGGGACACACACGAGGGGGACACACACGAGGGGGACACACACGAGGGGGACACACACGAGGGGGACACACACGAGGGGGACACACACGAGGGGGACACACACGAGGGGACACACACGAGGGGACACACACGAGGGGACACACGAGGAACTATTTGAAACTAACTTCCCATAAAGATTCAATATACACACAAGACCACCCACAACAAATTAGTGAATCACATCAAACCAGCAGCAGCCAATTAGCGCACTCGCTCCATCATTCCCACAAATCCCAACACACTTGAAAATCCTGAGGAGCCTAATCACCCTCCTTGATTGGTTCGTGTTTTCACAGGTCGCTCGATTCGCTAGTCTGTCTGTCTTGTGTTCTGCCCCGCTTTCTCAAGGCATTTGAAGATCTTCGCTCTCTTGTGTACGTACCTATCTGTGTCTACGGGGGGGGGGGGGGGGGGGGGGGGGGGGGGGTGTTAGCTCTGCATGCCCGGCCTATACTAGTCTTGTACCTGGTTCGTTTCTATTTAATTATTCTGACGTTCAAATGGTTTGTCGGGTCTGGCTTTAATGTCGTGGAGGTGGTTACCTTGAGGTTACCTTGAGGTGCTTCCGGGGCTCAGCGTCCCCGCGGTCCGGTCGTCGACCAGGCCTCCTGGTTGCTGGACTGATCAACCAGGCTGTTAGACGCGGCTGCTCGCAGCCTGACGTATGAGTCACAGCCTGGTTGATCAGGTATCCTTTGGAGGTGCTTATCCAGTTCTCTCTTGAACACTGTGAGGGGTCGGCCAATTATGTCCCTTATGTGTAGTGGAAGCGTGTTGAACAGTCTCGGGCCTCTGATGTTGATAGTTCTCTCTTGAACACTGTGAGGGGTCGGCCAGTTATGTCCCTTATGTGTAGTGGAAGCGTGTTGAACAGTCTCTGGCCTCTGATGTTGATAGTTCTCTCTTGAACACTGTGAGGGGTCGGCCAGTTATGTCCCTTATGTGTAGTGGAAGCGTGTTGAACAGTCTCGGGCCTCTGATGTTGATAAAGTTCTCTCTCAGAGTACCTGTTGCACCTCTGCTTTTCAACGGGGGTATTCTGCACATCCTGCCATGTCTTCTGGTCTCATGATGTGGTGTTATTTCTGTGTGCAGGTTTAGGACCAGCCCCTCAATTATTTTCCACGTGTAAATTATTATGTATCTCTCCCGCCTGCGCTCAAGGGAGTACAGATTTAGGCTCTTTAGTCGGTCCCAATAGTTTAGATGTTTTACCGAGTGGATTCTAGCAGTAAAGGATCTCTGCACGCTCTCCAGGTCAGCAATTTCTCCAGCTTTGAAAGGGGCTGTCATTGTGTAGCAGTGGCTTCCATAACTTCCTTTGGAGAATTCCACTTGTTGACTAGTTCCTTACGTCCCTTCTGTTCATCTATAATCATTTGGTTGTGCTTGCGGGGGTTGAGCTTTGGCTCTTTGGTCCCGCCTCTCAACCGTTAATCAACTGGTGTACAGGTTCCTGAGCCTACTGGGCTCTATCATATCTACATTTAAAACTGTGTATGGAGTCGGCCTCCACCACATCACTTCCTAATGCATTCCATCTGTTAACTACTCTGACACTGAACAAATTCTAACGTCTCTGTGGCTCATCTGGGTACTAAGTTTCCACCTGTGTCCCCTTGCTCGTGTTCCACCCGTGCTGAAGAGTTTGTCTTTGTCCACCCTGTCAATTCCCCTGAGAATTCTGTAGGTGGTTATCATGTCTCCCCTTACTCTTCTGTCTTCCAGGGACGTGAGGTTCAGCTCCCTTCGCCTTTCCTCGTAGCTCATACCTCTCGGTTCTGGGACGAGTCTGGTGGTGGCATACCGCTGAATCTTCTCTAATTTTGGCTTGCTTAATTAGGTATGGACTCCAGGCTGGAGCTGCATACTCCAGGATCGGTCTGACATACATGGTATACAAGGTTGCGAATGATTCATTATACAAGTTTCTAAAGGCCGTTCTTATGTTGGCCAAATTGGCATATCCGGGTCCGGCGGAGCCCGGGTCTGCGGGTCACCAACTTCTCCCATCTTTAAATGAGACTGTCTCAAGCTCCGGAACTCACCCGTGTGTTAGGTCACACAGATGTACAAGGTCAAGGAACCTTGACAAGGTCAAGGAACCTTGACAAGGTCAAGGAACCTTGACAAGGTCAAGGAACCTTGACAAGGTCAAGGAACCTTGACAAGGTCAAGGAACCTTGACAAGGTCAAGAAACCTTGACAAGGTCAAGAAACCTTGACAAGGTCAAGAAACCTTGACAAGGTCAAGAAACCTTGACAAGGTCAAGAAACCTTGACAAGGTCAAGAAACCTTGACAAGGTCAAGACACCTTGACAAGGTCAAGAAACCTTGACAAGGTCAAGACACCTTGACAAGGTCAAGACACCTTGACAAGGTCAAGAAACCTTGACAAGGTCAAGAAACCTTGACAAGGTCAAGAAACCTTGACAAGGTCAAGAAACCTTGACAAGGTCAAGAAACCTTGACAAGGTCAAGAAACCTTGACAAGGTCAAGAAAACGGTCAATGTAAAGTGGTCTCCCCCCCTAACCTGCCAGAGGTCCCACAACAGAAAACGGGACAGTACGTCACTTTCGCCAGCCGCTTCCATTTTCTAGTAACGACGATTTTGGGTCTTAGGTAACGCCTACGATCGAAAAGCGACAAAAAAAAGGATGAGAGATGGGATGGTGGGAAAGGAATGGTGCCCAACTACTTGTGGACGGTCGGGGGATTGAACTCCGACCTGCATGAAGCGAGACCGTCGCTCTACCGTCCAGCCCAAGTGGAGTGGATAAAGTCCGTCATTAACGTACATGAATATACCTGAGAGCCACGAAGCGCTAGCGTGGCCACGACGAGGACAGGAAGCCAGCGGCTTGTCAAATGTCCCGCAGCAGCTCGTGCTTGGTGGCAGGTGGAGGCCTATGTTGGTGCCTCGATATTGTCCTGTAGGGCGCCTGACAGCTGAGTGGACAGCGCTTCGGTTTCGTAGTCTTGAGGTTCCGAGTTCGATCCCCGGTGGAGGCGGAGACAAAAGGAGCAAAACGTTTCTTTCGCCCTGATGCACCTGTTACCTAGTAGTAAATAGGTACCTGGGAGTTAGACAGCTGCTACTGGCTGCTTCCTGAGGGGGGGGGGGTGTAACAATAAGGAGGCCTGGTCGAGGACCGGGCCACGGGGACGCTAACCCCCAGAAATCATCTCAAGATAACCTCAAGATAACCGCAAGATAATCCTGTAGTTTAGTGGTCTCCTTAACCTTTTCCACAAACTTTGTAACCAGGTTATCGCGGTTATATTAACCCGCGTGTGAGCGGCTAACCAAACTCTCCACAAACTACTAGTTAAGCAAACTACCTCAGGCGTATTAACTATGCACCATCCCGCAGAGAGCATTAACTCTCCACTCCGCTAACTTTGCAATTCACTACCCAACTTAAACCAAACTTGATGAATTAATTGAAGAAGGGAACACTTCCTCGGGGTCAAACAAGGGCCCGCCAAACATTGGCCCTTGTCCAAACACACTTGGGACATGTTCCCTACCTGAGAGATTGTCCCCAGGGGCAGGTCCCCTGTGCCACCAGTCCTCTCACCCTGAGGGGGGGTGAGGCCCCCCCCTTCTTATGGGATCTTTCACCCCCCCTAACACCCCATATATATATTTTTTATGAACTCGGACAATCCGTTAAAAATGTCATGTGTTAGAAAATAATTTTATAGTCATAAAACCGACGGTTTCTATGGCTCGGTAGTGAGGGTTAGGTGGGTTGTTTGGGTGAGTTCCCCAGGATCACCTTGCTGGGGGGAGAGGGGTTTATCAGGGGGAAAGCGGCAAGCCATTACGATAGGTCTTGGAAGGGATCAGGATAAGGATTTGGGATGGGACGGGGGGGGGGGGGAGGAAGGAATGGTACCCAACCACTTGTGGACGGTCGGGGGATTGAACGCCGACCTGCAGAAAGCGAGACCGTCGCTCTACCGTCCACCCCAAGTAGAGACAAAATAAACCCCGCCAGGGAGGGGGGGAGAGGGGGGGCGGCGCCCAATCTCATTTTTCCCCTGCCAGTGTTGGGGAAAAGTTGGAGTTGGGCGCGCCATTCTTTCTGGTGAACGTAGAGGCTATCGTGGCGCGATAACACGTAGAGGCTATCGTGGCGCGATAACTACCTTCACGACTTGCAACTTCCACACTATAACCCGGATTTGTGCCCGGGGCTCTGAGGTCGTGTTCTGGTGCTCCAAGAGTCGTTCCCTCTCATGCACCACCACAGCCGGCGTCGTCGCTGGCGTCTGGGCGTCTGAGTCTGACGTCTGAGTTTGGCGTCTGGACGTCTGAGTTTGGCGTCTGGACGTCTGAGTCTGGCGTCTGGACGTCTGAGTCTGGCGTCTGGACGTCTGAGTCTGGCGTCTGGACGTCTGAGTCTGGCGTCTGGACGTCTGAGTCTGGCGTCTGGACGTCTGAGTCTGGACGTCTGGCGTCTGGACGTCTGAGTCTGGCGTCTGGACGTCTGAGTCTGGCGTCTGGACGTCTGAGTCTGGCGTCTGGACGTCTGAGTCTGGCGTCTGGACGTCTGAGTCTGGCGTCTGGACGTCTGAGTCTGGCGTCTGGACGTCTGAGTCTGGCGTCTGGACGTCTGAGTCTGGCGTCTGGACGTCTGAGTCTGGCGTCTGGACGTCTGAGTCTGAGTCTGGCGTCTGGACGTCTGAGTCTGAGTCTGGCGTCTGGACGTCTGAGTCTGAGTCTGGCGTCTGGACGTCTGAGTCTGGCGTCTGGACGTCTGAGTCTGGCGTCTGGACGTCTGAGTCTGGCGTCTGGACGTCTGAGTCTGGCGTCTGGACGTCTGAGTCTGGCGTCTGGACGTCTGAGTCTCTCCATATATATCCTGATCAGTGACCACCCCGGCCTCCAGAGGCTACCCCAACGTCAAGAAAGTGTCGTACTAAAGTGCTATCTTATCCTAACCTACCAGAGGAGCCACAACAGAAAACGGGACAGTGTGTCACTTTCTCCAGTCGCTTCCTTTTTCTAGTACGACGATTTTTGGCCGTTGGCGGAGTATACGTCAAAATGCGACGTGCTATTGGGACGGGTTGAGGTTTGGGGCATGCCAGAGTGAGTGAGTGAGTGAGTGAGTGAGTGAGTGAGTGAGTGAGTGAGTGAGTGAATTAATGAATGAATGAACAAAGAAACAATGAAACAAACAAACGGACAGGCGCACACACAAACACACACACACACATACGTTTCTCTCAATGTTTGCTGATGATGCAAAAATTATGAAGAGGATTGAAACAAAGGATGATAGTAGGAGGCTACAAGATGATCTAGACAGACTGAGTGAATGGTCCAACAAATGGCTGTTGAAGTTGAACCCGAGTAAATGCAATGTAGTAACACTAGGGGTGGGGAGGAAACAGGAGGCCAGACACAGGATACAGAATGGGAGATGAAGTCCTTTATGAAACGGACAGAGAGAAAGATCTGGGAGTTGATATCACACCAAACCTGTCTCCTGCAGCCCACATAAAAAGAATTACATCTGCGGCATATGCGAGGCTGGCTAACATCAGAACAGCGTTCAGGAACGTGTGTAAGGAATCCTTCAGAACCTTGTACACCACATATGTAAGACTTATCTTGGAGTATGCAGCCCCAGCATGGAGCCCGTACCTTGTCAAGCACAAGACGAAGCTGGAAAAAGTCCAAAGGTATGCCACTAGACTAGTCCCAGAACTAAAAGGCATGAGTTACGAGGAAAGGCTGCGGGAAATGCACCTCACGACACTGGAAGACAGAAGAGTCCGGGGAAACATGATCACAACCTACAAAATCCTCAGGGGAATTAACAGGGTAGACAAGGATAAACTATTCAACACTGGCGGTACGCGAACAAGGGGACACAGGTGGAAACTGAGTACCCACATGAGCCACAGGGACGTTAGAAAGAACTTTTTCAGCGTCAGAGTAGTTAACGGATGGAATGCTTTAGGCAGTGATGTGGTGGAGGCTGACTCCATACACAGTTTCAAATGTAGATATGATAGAGCCCAATAGGCTCAGGAACCTGTACACCAGTTGATTGACAGTTGAGAGGCGGGACCAAAGAGCCAGAGCTCAACCCCCGCAAGCACAAATAGGTGAGTAGACACCTGCTTGATACCAGCTTGATGGGGTTCTGGAAGTTCTTCTACTCCCCAAGCCCGGCCCGAGGCCAAACTCGACTTGTGAGTGTTTGGTCCACCAGGCTGTTGCTTGGAGCGGCCCGCAGGCCCACATACCCACCACAGCCCGGCTGATCCGGAACTTCTCTTAGAAAACAGTCCAGTTTTCTTTTGAAGATGTCCACGGTTGTTCCGGCAATATTTCTTATAGTCGCTGGGAGGATGTTGAACAACCGCGGACCTCTGATGTTTATACAGTGTTCTCTGATTGTGCCTATGGCACCTCTGCTCTTCACTGGTTCAATCTTGCATTTTCTTCCATATCGTTCACTCAAGTATGTTGTTATTTTACTGTGTATATTTGGGACCTGACCCTCCAGTATTTTCCATGTGTATATTATTTGGTATCTCTCTCGTCTTCTTTCTAGAGAGTACATTTGGAGAGCTTTGAGACGATCCCAATAATTTAGGTGTTTTATCTCGTCTATGCGTGCCGTATATGTTCTCTGTATTCCCTCTATTTCAGCAATCTCTCCTGCTCTGAAGGGGGAAGTGAGTACTGAGCAGTACTCGAGACGGGACAACACAAGTGACTTGAAGAGTACAACCATTGTGATGGGATCCCTGGATTTGAAAGTTCTCGTAATCCATCCGATCATTTTTCTGGCTGACGCAATATTTTTTCTAGCTGACACGGCCTGATTAACTATTTAACTATTTCAGAATTTACCCCAACGTGCTGGGGACTAGTGGAGATATTCTCCTGCTCAGTCTCCACTCCTCTCCCTCTCTCCCTCTCTCTCTCCCTCTCTCTCTCCCTCCCTCCCTCCCTCCAAGAACCCTCCCTCCCTCCCTCCCTCCCAACTTCCCTCTATCAAAACACCCGCTTTCATTTCCTTTCCCCCCCCCCTCGGGGCATCAAAGGCATCAATTGCCATCTTGTATTACAGGGCATGAAAAGTCCCCCCCCCCAGCCCCCCCACCGCTATTCACCGGCCCCCCCCCCCCCACGCCCCACCAGATTAGGCCTCTACAAACCTCGTCTAGGGCCAAAAAATGTAAGGCCTATATAAACTCTGCCACTGAACCTCGCGAAATGAAAAGGGAGAGGGCGGTGATGGGAGGGGGCGTGGGAGGGGGCGTGGGAAGGGACGTGTAGAGGGGTGGCTAGGGGAAAGGGGGGAACGGCCAGGGGGAGAAGCAGGAGGAAGGGAGTGGTTAAGAAAGGAAGATATTCCATTATACCATTAATCAAACCGGAGGGGACAAAGCTCTGTGGACCCCAGGAGGAGGAAAAACTAGAGTTCGTCTGTAGATTAGGTAACACTTTTTAGTCTATCTGCTATCCTGTGGCGAGAGAGGAGGAAGACCCCACGACCCCCCCCCCCAGGCCCTCAGGGGTCGTCAGAAAACGCAATCAGGGTCGTCAGAAAACGCATCTTCCGGGAAAATGGGAAAAATGGAACAGAAGGCAGGGATACCTGGTAGGAGTTAATATATTCTCCCTTTATATATATACGACGCCTCCATGTTGGTGCATATTAGAGGATAGAAGCCCTAAATAAATACAGAATATGCGGTCATATTCAATAAACATGTTTGAAAGAAAACCTGCTGCCATACACCAATATATATATATATATATATATATATATATATATATATATATATATATATATATATATATATATATATATATACATCGTTGGTTATAGGAGAACTGCTGAACCCTGCTAGCAGGCTGATTGATTGATTGATTGATTGTTGTAGTTTATTGTGCACCCCATACTCATCCTGTGAGCGGTAGCGCAAAAAAGCATTACAGAGGGCACAAAAGGTCTTTATCAGACCTCATCAAAGATTATTACATAAACAATTTCTTCAATCCTTCACACCTTATAGATACAATGTCAGCTAGTTACAGAGAAAGTGCTATTTCAAGAGCTACATATTTACAGTAAGTCATCATACATTAATGGTAGGTCTTGTCGTTAATACATAATAGTTTGAGCAATGGGGATATTACAGTCAGGGGAGCTTCTGTTTAATATTAGTCTTCACAATATACTACTTGTTTCTTAATCTCATATGTCGTTCATCTACTGGAAGCGAAATATGGATACAGTGCAAGGATTTCAGGTAATTTATCCATGGTAATAAGATAGGTTGCCATATCATACAGCGTGAGCTTAGATTTATCTCTAAAAGGCTCAATTTTACAACAATCCAAGATATAGTGTTCGAGTGTGTGTCCCTGTCTTTGTCCACACACTTTACACTTTACTTCATCTAGATCCCTATACAAGCCGAACTGCCAGAGATACTTGTAGCCAAGTCTTATACGAGCTGTGACAACATCTGTTAGTCTACTGACTTTGTTACTTGCCCCATACACATGTTTTACTTCACACATTTCATTGTGATGAACAATGGACCTGCTAGTTCCAGTTTGCACTGTTCTACTTTCTTCAAATCCATCCAGGAGTTCTCGTCTAATGACACTTTTAAGGGACCTGGTTGATACCTGGTTGATACCTGGTTGATGGGGTTCTGGGAGTTCTTCTACTCCCCAAGCCCGGCCTCGGGTTGATACCTGGTTGATGGGGTTCTGGGAGTTCTTCTACTCCCCAAGCCCGGCCCGAGGCCAGGCTCGACTTGTGAGAGTTTGGTCCACCAGGCTGTTGCTTGGAGCGGCCCGCAGGGCCACATACCCACCACAGCCCGGTTGGTCCGGAACTTCTCTTAGGGACTTCTCTTAGGGACCCTATTTGATAACTCAAGATTCCGTTCAATACTGTCTTTATTTACTGCAGCCTTAGCAAGGGCGTCAACTTTGTCATACTCCTGACAGCTTCCCCTTCCCACAGCTCCTGTTCCAGCGTTCCCTGCAACACGACCCGGCAATCGATTTCCAACCAGGTCCTCCATTACTGCTGGGTGAAGCGGGATTAACACTTAAAAAAGAATGGGTGCCCCGTCAAGCCTCCCTACCTACCTACCTTGAGGTGCTTCCGGGGCTTAGTGTCCCCGCGGCCCGGTCGTCGACCAGGCCTCCTGGTTGCTGGACTGATCAACCAGGCTGTTAGACGCGGCTGCTCGCAGCCTGACGTATGAGTCACAGCCTGGTTGATCAGGTATCCTTTGGTCCAGGTCCTATCCCTTCCCAGGGTTCGAACCCCGGTAGTGTGTGTGTGTGTGTGTGTGTGTGTGTGTGTGTGTGTGTGTGTGTGTGTGTGTGTGTGTGTGTGTGTGTGTGTGTGTGTGTGTGTGTGTGTGTGTGTACAGTGAAACCGTCAAGATGTTCTGGAGATGTTATACCTTATAACTATAAGATATAACTTAGATATAGATATAGATGTAAGATTTAGATAAAGATGCAGAACTTTCTTACAAAATTAAGACAGGGTTGTGGGGGTTGCCAGCAGGCAAGAGCAGCCACCACCAGCATCATCAGCGGCATATGCAAGACTGGCCAACATAAGAACTGCCTTTAGAACCTTGTGTAAGTAATCGTTCAGGACCCTGTATACCACTTATGTCAGACCAATCCTGGAATATGCAGCTCCTGCCTGGAGTCCGTATCTAGTTAAAGACAAGACAAAGTTAGAGAAGATTCAGCGGTATGCCACCAGACTTGTCCCGGAACTGAGAGGATTGAGCTACGAGGAAAGGCTAAAGGAGCTGAACCTCACATCCCTGGAAAACAGAAGAGTA